CGAGTACCCTGAGACGGAGGGTCTGAGGTGGTCACGGCGCATCACGAGGAAGAAATAAACACTGTCACGAGGTTTTGTATGAGTATCTGGCAAGACTCGCGGACGAGTCTTCTGTGTAGGGGGTGGGTGATGTGACGGCGCCGGCAGGCAGCGACCCACATGTGGGTCCCGCTGTCGCTTGTGCGACCAGGGTATTTATTTGGGTTTGCACGTTTGTATCTAGTTCTCTTCCTCTTTTCTTCTCCCTATCTGAAATCTTCTGTCATAGATGGAATCTTAGCTTTGCCTTCGACTCACCCATACTGTGCCCTTGCATTAATACATTACAATTCGAAGATCTCATCCTACTAGAAGATTCAGAGCTAGTTCATTTATTCTATTCCTCTTTGGCCGTCTCCGTTACTTTGTGCGCAAGTATCTCACCTAATTCATTCCCTTTCTTTTTAAGCATCGCCAGCTCCGCCTCCAAGCCCTCCATCACAAGATTATGATAGCTTCTACTGCTCTCAAGCCGGCGGAGTTCCTTGCACATCCTTTCGTTAGCCTTCCGGGCGATCTTAATCTCAAGTATAAGACGATTGCGGACGCGGAGGTAAGAATTCAAATCGTTCGAAGCGGGGGTAGGGATTCGAGTATCGGACTCAGTATCCGCATCGTACTCCACGTCGACTTTCGGGGTGGAGAAAGAAGGGTAGGGGGTACGGTATGCGTTGTTAAGGTGAGGTTGCGGATAGTGGGCGTTGGCGGGAAGGGAGGAAGGGGAATGGCGAATCCGAGCGGCGTGCCGGTTTCGTAGTTTTTGCGCTACTCTTTGCGCGAGTTCCTCGTAAAATTGTTGCTTTGGAATTTCGACAACCTCATTCGTAGGCTCGGGAGTGGCGACAGACTTATTTCCTTGACCGAGAGCTGTCGAAGGAATAGCTTCGACTTCCATTGTATTGGAATATTCGTAATCCAAGAGACTATCCTTTATCTTAGGCAACAAGCCTTGAGATAAAAGTGTAGAGGAAGGCGGCTGGATGCAAGAGTGGAGTCCTAGGAGGTTGGCTAAGTCCACTTCGAATTCGAAAACGAGCTATTATACCTACTACTTATAAGAAATCCCGGTCGTCTCGCTTTTCGTCCATAAAGATTGGAATAGGTTTCATTTTCTAATAGAATAAGGTGATTGTTGGTGATATTCTCCTAGCGAAAGACATATTGTACAGTATAATTATCTACTTTGGTGACTTTTTACGGTAATGACTAATCTTCGTCTTCATATGCCCAATAATTTATCTTATCTACCTAATGATATAAGCACATTGAGTATCGAACTGACTAGCTTAGTATTGTAAAGAGTCGCACCTTTTTGAAGGAGGTATTCAACTATTTCGAAGTTGTTGTGACGGACTGGGCATCCGTCGCAACTATATAAGACCACTTGAGCAACCGAATTACCAGCTTCTGTTATTTGTATCCTTTTGTGGAAACATGGAACGTTATAGCGTAGTAGTGAAATGCGTCGCCGTGACATTTGCTCTGTAATATCCTTCTAACTGAGTCTGGGGATTAGCGTGAGATTGGTTCTCCGACTGTATTTGGGTTTCGCTCTGGGTTTCGCTCTGGGTTTCGCTCGTAACTTCCTGTTGAGTGTGAATCTCGGGTTCCGTTTGCGTTTGATGGCCTTCTGTTTGTGAATCCAGGTTCATCTGAATAACGGAGATATCCAGATCGTCGCTAATCTTCTCTCCAGTCTTGTCGACCCCTTCTCCTGCCATAACCCCCGACTCCGCATTGCTCTCCTGTCCCACACCTTCTCCCACCCCTATAACCCCTTCATTTAACTACCCACCAATGTCCCGATCGCCAAACAGGTCATCCTTCTGTTCACCATCATCTTCATCATCCCCCTCGTTCCCCTCGTCCACCACCTCACCCCTTCCACTTCCACTTCCCACTCCCACTCCCATACCTAACAACCACCCGCTCCTCCCTATTCGCCTCCTCCTCTTCTTGCGGATAATGCCTCACAGACCAAACATCCTACCTCCTCTTCGTATAAACTCCCATCCCCTCCTCATCCAACCACAACTCCCTCTTCTCCACCACATCCCTCAACATGTGCTCCTCCTCTTGCACGTAATATAGATGGATGTCCCCATCCTCGTACGTGATCGTGCCCTGAAAGAGGTGCTTGGTGCCGCCCATATATTCACAATTGTAATTCTGATCTGGGTTGGCATCGCTCAGGTTCTTCACTCGTTGTCGGCACTTCTCGTTTGCTTCCTTTTTAGAGGTGTAAGCGTCGCAGCGGTAATGGCGGGTGAGGTGGATGTCGGAAGGCGGGTGTCTGCCGGTGCAGTAGATTATATATTGGAGGATGACTCTTACCCTTATTCCTCCAGCGTTACTGAAGGCGGATTCCGTACTTCTTCCTAATCATCGATTGCTTGGTGCCGTAGCTTCCGAGCGATGGTTCCGCTTTGTGACTTCTAGTGATAGGTTCCGGTCTTCGATAGACTTCGATATCGGGAAAGTGGCCACCGGTTTAGGAAAAATGGAATATATCGCCGCAGTCCTTCGGGGTCTCTGGTTTCCTCTCGCGGTCTTGTGATTAGCGAAGTACCTCTTTCATAAATTCCACCGTACCACCTAACTCTTCCATCTCATTGTGAAGAGGAACATTTCGGAAAGCAGGGAGAGCGTGGGTCCGCTAACGAGCGCTCAGAATTGGAATACTAGCGAAACTAAGTTGACGGATAACAGTAGTGACGATGGGCACAACCAGAGTGGCTGGCCAACAGGGACCAGGACAACGACGACGGGCACCATGCGTTCCTCACCGGGTCGTAAGATGACCTTCTTCTCGGTGACGACTTTTCTTGAACAGCGGTTAGGTGGTTTGAGCACCTCGAATGCGGTGCTGAAGTTATCTTGTGGAAGACGGACTTCAGCTTCCCGATAGTCGATGTGTGCTTGCCGGGGGTGAAGGAAAGAGTTAGCTAGAAGGAGGTTTGGTTCCAAATCGTCGATTACCCAGCCAGCGGCAGTCGTCTTCAGCAAAGTGGGGTTGCCTTTTGAATCCTTTCCTGGAAGGTAGAATGTAAATGTCGCCCATTCTGTCAATCTAGTCGGTTTACCACCGACCCCTTTAACTCTGGTCGTATAATCTGTCGAAATGGAGTGCTCGAAAGTGTTCAGGAAGGGCCGGCCGATGATGGTCTTTCCTGCTCCTGGGTCCATGCAAATCTCGACCTCCTCCGAATCTGGAGTCGCTTTGGCGGTGACGCGCAGGTGAGTGAATCCTGATAGTGGTCCTTGCTTCGAGAGCTCGCTCGTCTGGGGAGTAGAGTTCCTGATTTGGAATGGAATAGTGGTGGTATGGTGCGCGGCTTCGACTGGTCGCGTTTCGCGGGGTGTGCTGCAAGTGCCGAGGTGCTCGAAGAGGCGATTCCAGGAGGGGAAAGTCGTTTTGCAATTCCTACACGAGTAGAAATCGTTGCCAAGACGGATTGAGGGAATCACGTCGTCACGACTAACCCTTATATTGCAAGTCCGGGCGTAATTACTCTTCATTTTCACCGAGTCGAACTCCAGAAGGCACTTGGAACAGGTCAATTCGCTATCGTACACATGGTAGACTGAGTCATCCAAATTGCATCCATCCGAGTCGTCTCCAGCGAAGTTGATGAACTCCTCCGCGGGCTGCTCCTTCTTGACGTGATGGGCGCGATCCTTGTCCTTATTGGCGTCACGGTCGCGGCTACGGTCACGATCATAGCCACGGTTGCGACTGCCGTCGCGGTTGCGGTCAAAGCCACGGTTACGACTGGATGTGCGGGTATCGGTATTGCGATCGCGGTTGAAGGCACGTGTGTCGTTAGAGCGGCCATTGCTGGCATCGCGATTGCGGTCGCGACTGCGACTGCGGCCGCTACGCCACACTTCACCTCGCAAGTCAGGAACGGGAAGTACATGTAGTACGTGGCCATGAAGAAAGACTGGTCCCCGGTGATGAAGTCGCCCATGAATGGCGACAACTTGGCGAGCTGGTTCTCAGTGAATGCGTCTCGTCTGAACCCAACGGAGTAGTCAGGCTGTAGACGGGTGCTGGTGAGAGGGATCGAGTTGTTCCACCCTTCGTTGATACTCTCTGTCAGGATGTTAAGGTGTTTTGTACCGAATGTTGCAAGACTTTCAGCTGAAGGAAACTTGCTCTTCCTTTATTGAGCACTGCCTCCCTGTTCCTTTTCGGGACGTACGATGCGGAGTCGCTCGGCACACACCCACCACCTGCAGAAAATCCTGGTAGGTATGACAGCTCGTTTTTTCGAAACCGGAGTGCGCTTGCTGGCTTTGATGATTGCGCCCCCGAGGAGGTCGTCAATCGCAAGCAGGCCGTCGTGATCGCGGCCGTCGTGATCGCAGCCGTCGAACTGTGGGAGACTTACTGCGAGTACCACATCAACCATCCGCACCTCTCGACCAACCCCCGCCCTCGTGGCGTATTGGCCTGGGGTATCGGCGAGATGGTCACCCGTGGCTGGCGCGCTCCCGCTAAGCACGCTCGCCTCCGCAAGGCGGCTCCCCTGCCTCCCATCATGATCGATCGCGACGACGCCCCGGACTCCTCTGATGCTTCCGACACTTCCAGCTCTTCTGATGCTCCGGACGCCGCCAGCTCTGAGGCATCCGACACTGCCGATGTCCCTGCCCCCGTTCCGGACGCAGCCTTCCCGCTTTCCGACAGCCCGTTCGTCGCACGCTTCACCGACCTCGAGGCTAAGATTGATGAGCTGGGCACCGCTGTCGCCTCCTACAACGAGACTCATGCAACCTCTTTCGCTGATGTAGTTGCTGCTATGGCGGACTTGACTGCCACCGTCAGGAAGGAGTTGTCGGCGGTGACTACTGCTATCGGTGCTCTGCAGGACCAGGTTGCCGCGCTCTCGGAGGTTCCGAAGGAGGATAATGAGGAGATTGACGATGTTGTTGGTGAGGCCTGATTTCGACGTCGCAGCTGATAGGCGCAACGGTAGCGCGCGAGGTTAGAGACCTCGAAGAGCAGGTTCAACTCCTGCATTAGCAATCGTGATTCAATCAGGCGGGCAATCCCGAGCCTCACCTATGCTCAGTCGGAATGGATGGAGATCCTGCCCTAAGATGGTTAGATAGTTAACTCCCGCTCCCGTTTTCCCTCCCCAGTTTTTGCAACTCTTGACCCTGATTGTTGTGTGATTCTTTGAACGCCCTGTTTCCCCACCCTGCTTCGCCTTCTTCCAATAATAGATTTCAAGATAAAGCTATACGAGTTTGATTGTGTTGTCCAGGACGAAATGGATCTGAAGAAATGGATATGACGAAATGGGTCTAACAAAATGGGTCTGACAAGTGTCCGGGGAAGAGTCTCGAGATGGAGTGACGTGCCGTGCGAGGAATGGGAACCAAGGCCGGTGGGAGGAGGCCGAGAAGCTGTTTGTGCAGGTGATGGAGACTCGCAAGGCGAAGCTCGGGGCCGATCATCCCTCGACGCTGACGAGCATGGCCAACCTGGCGTCGACGTACAGGAACCAAGGCCGGTGGGAGGAGGCCGAGAAGCTG